AGGATCCCACTGGAGGAGGAAGAACCTGGATTGTTAGAACTTTAGAGAGAAGGGTCATTTTTGAAGCTGTGTAAATTGGGAGCAGAATCTAGTGATGATATTAAAGTCACATGTCTAAGAGAGAAGCTGTAGTATTTCCAAATGTTTATGTACCTGTTAGCTGAAAATGAGACAAAAGAAAGTATACAACACCAGTTCTCTCCATCAAATACTGATAGGTCCAGAGAGTAGAGATGGCAAATGCCACTGAGACTATTCTTCTATTGAAGTGGATATTTATTCTAGAAAGCCACCATCTGCTTGATTTGGGGTCAACTCCTAATGGGCACATTGCATATGGTGAAGGAACCTTTTCCCTGAGACAAGTGATCTGAAAGTCCTTGGCTCAAATGATTGTAGAAACTTGTATCAGCAAACCATAGTTTCATTTTGGAATCTTTAGTTGGCTTGGGAACTGTAAACATAACATGTGGCAAGCTTCCCACTTACTGTGCAGGAACAGGCCCTGCTTGCCTGGGAGCAATGAAGAGGCAGATGGTAGGTGAGCTGGCTCTCATTACTCAGTGGTGCAGTGGCTATAGGACCAAGGCTTGCTTGGAAGAATTGACTCAGTCCACTGAGAAGGTTACAGGAAAGCTTACAAGGCACAAAAGGGCTGGGCACCATTGGAGGATGCTTTCTACACACAGCCCTACTGTGTTCACATTTTTTTTTATTATAGGAGACAATGATACTTTTTTGGTTTTCTATGTACCTCTGCCACATAGTTCCAACTGTTTGATCAATCAGCCAAGAGAACCTCACACAACAATTTCTTTGATATTGACCCTAAGCTAGACTTACTGCTAAAAAAAAAAAAAAACAAACAAAAAAGCCCAAAAGACAAATTTATTTAGGCAGTGCTTCCAATAACCAATTGATCAGAATATTTTAAAAAACATTATAGAGTCAAATTGACACATTTCTATTAGTTAAAATTTACATAAAACTGGATCCCAATAGAGTTTATTCTAAGGGAGTTAAATATCAATCAATAGGGAGAGAATGTGGAGGTAGAAATAATGAAGTAATTTCACTAGCTCTCTGCTTCAGTTGCCATCAGGTTCAACATGGGTTGGTGTGCAGTCACTATACAAAAAATCAAGTGCTCCCACCTAAAGGATTTACAAAGGTCTGAACTAAACAACATGACTTTTTGTGCACAAAATGGCTGTTCTGACACCTAGAAAGTGAGTGACATTGACATGAAATGAGTAGCTTGTCAATGTTCTATTTTACAACTGTAATCTATATATTAGAAGCAAACAAAGACATAGGGCAGTTATATAAAATGGCCTGGGAGACAAGAAAATTCTTACTGTTCAACTCTGTGCCTGCAATCTCAAGGGAACAGGCAGCAGTAATTCTTCCGCTGATATTTGGTCTTTAAGTGAAGTTTTCTTCTAGGGCAGCAGACACAAGCTGCTTCCTTCCTTAATGAGTCTGAGTTCACACCAGTGAACAGCTATGCTAAGGGATATATTGCCTGGCCATAGGGGAAAACAATAACAACAACAACAACAACACACACCCACACACAGAACTACATATGCCAGACATTTGGAGCCAGAGTTCCTTAACATGTACTGGGGATTTCAGGATGGGTTACAGGCAGGACTTCAGGGCCACATGGCTTGAGCAGCTGGACACAGAGCCTGTTTCCTCAATGACTAAGATGTCATAAAAGCTGAGAGGTCACAGTCTTCTGCCAAAGCAGAACTTGCTTTGAATGAAGAAAGAAAGCAGCAGTGAGTGACCACAGAGCCATGCACAAAGAACCCTATCAAACCCTTTCTTAGCTGTATTACTCCCTTTTAAGAGCCAATCATTCGATCTACAAACTGCCACAGAATTACAGTGTGACCCAGGTTTCTCTGCCTACCAGTTCTTTAGGATGCTAGAATGCTCATACAAGAAGAACAAAATATGTACAGGTAAAATAGTTTTGTTCAGTGTTTTTACTAAGAACAAATCATATATGTACACATGAGCTATAGCATATGAATTGCAAAATTCCATTGATTCCAGATGATAAGTTAAGAGCTTATAGATTTGCCATCAAACTAGTATTATGTAATTTACAATGATAAAAATCAATGCAAATAATTTAAAATTTGACACTCCCTTGAGTGATGGTAAATAGCAAACATTTGGAGGCAGCAGAAAAATGGAGAGTGCTTTATACTTCAGGGCCTTTCAAGACACCGTCTCTGTTCTTTGAAAAGGAGCACTACATGATTGTTCCCTGTTGGTCAGGTTAAGCCACTGGCACTGGATCAAGATACATCCAAGGCACTGCTGATATCTTCAGCCCTTAGGGGTCTGCATAGGCTTTGACAGTGTGGTAGCACCTACAACCTTTGCCTATCCACTGTCTACTTGGCCACCCTGGTTGGACCCTCTAGCATGCTGTTCTAAGATGAGAAATCTGAGATGCATGCAAGCTGGAAGTCTGAGAAGCTTCTTTAGGGGTCACCTAGAAGGTCATACTACCACAACTGACTCTTGGGTCCATCACAGTCACCCTGATGGATCTGAACATGTACAGGATTCATGCAAAATATAGACATACTTCCCCAGAGCACTGAATCTTGGTTCCTCTGTCCAGAATGTCACCTATGCTCCTAGCAACAGTTTCCCTCTCATTCTCCAATCTCTGTTGAAGTATGCTCTACTTGGAGAGGGCTCCCTCATCCCGACTCTTATTCACCTCAACTCTCAGTTCCACTTGTTTTCAGAAGGGAGGGGAACCAGTTAGCCTGTGCACTCCTTAGGTGTCTCTACAACGTGTGAACAAAGACTGGGCTCCTGAATCCCTGCTGTGTTGCGGTAACCCTAGCTTCTAGCACCAGAGTTGGCAGACAGTTCACAGAACTGTGTTTGGTTAATGAAGAAATGCAATTAGCACTCACAATTAGGACTGGTTAGAATATTCAGTGTTTTTCAAAATTCAAATATAAGACTTATGTCAATGAAGCAGCAAATTCCAGACATCAGCTATGACACCGAAGCAATTCAGATAGTCTGCAGAGTGCATTGGGGACTTCAATGTTCTAGTGAACATTACGAGTGCAGCTGGTTAAAGGCACACGTATACAGATGTAACAGTTAGTGAGGATGTTTAAAGTACAAAACTGACCTTTTCTCCCTCCCATTTCCTCATTTTTATTATATTCCTTGTTTCTGACCAGAGTATTAGCAGTTCTGCAGACAGAAATGTCATCATATGATCATAAAGCTTTTCTTACATGACTACATCTTGATAAAAATTTGTATATATCATCTGATTTACTGTTCTGGATCATTTATTAGAATAATTAAAGAATATATAGAAGAGAGAAATATTTAAAACTTTATAGGTCTTATTATTTTTTTCCTCCCTTTTTATACTAAGTTGTCCTCTAAGATGTCAAATTGTTGGGTACTAGCACTCATAAACATGATGTGATTTCTCTGAGGTTTTTAAGGAGCTACTGATCATTACCTTTTCAGCTCTTAGAAATAATGTTTTCCCTAAATCTGACTGCTCCAAAGGCACCTAGTTACCAATCAGCAAAATGACAAAGCATTTATTTTTTGATGTGCTTGATAAGTGAAGTGGGTAACAGGATAAAAAAAAAAAATCACAGTGGACTTCTACAAAATAGGACATTCTTGTTTCAAAGGACTTTTGTTGCATCTGTCCAGCATCCTTGACTCACAGGTGTCTAGCTCATTCCAGCTCATATGCCAAAGGACAGAGCTGTTGTTGTACAGGTCTTTCTTTTTGCCAAGAAGTTCTTGTAAGCTGCAGTTTATGTGAAATACTGGAGGTGGAAGCGGCAGCAGCTATAGATTACGTCTGGGGTGTTCTGGAAGTCTCTGCAGAGAGTACTGCCTCCAAACACTCCCCACTAGCCTGGACAAAGGGGGAGAGTGCACTGAAGGGAATTATACAGCCTGGTCCCGGGGGAGGGACCAGATGGGACCTAATAGCTCTTTTCTACTACTAATTTCTATGATAATTTTAAGTTGCCACATGGCATATGTATTTTTTAAAATCTAAAGGCGAACAGTAGTCAACTGAATGACCAATATTTTAATGAAAGGTATTTGTCACAAACTGTAGCTCTTTACACATTATTTCTCACTCACTCACTCTCTACCCACTGATAATACATCACTTACAATTAGGCTGGGAGAAGTCTTTGGAGAGAGGTCAAATAGAATGTGGTTTTAATCATTATCAATACCAATTAGAAACAAAGGAATTCTAAGTTTTATTAGGAAGTCAGATGGTTTCTGTACTGGTTTTCTGAAGCTACTCATCTTAATCTTTTCTTATAGTTAGAGATCATGTGGGTTTAAGAATAACACTGCCAAGTCATGCTTGAAAGAAAAATTAGAAACATGAAATTCTTCTGTTTTCAGAGATGATGTCAGAGATTAAAAGAGGAAATATTAATGATTGGAGAAATTACAAAAAAGTTTTCTTCCCACCCTTACTGATTAATCCAGATACAACTTGATTCAGGGCCTCCCTTACCTCTCCTCTATGGCAGGGGTTAATTTCTCCTTCCTCCATCCTTCAGAACTCTGCATTTCTCAGGCGCTGTGTACACTTTTTGATTTATCAGTCATTTCATTTACTTTTGTTTTCTGGTGCTCTCAATGAGACTTGTCATGATTTGCTACATATTCCTCTTTCTACACAGTGGAATGTGACTCAACATAGAAGAGACTGAGTCTGGGAAAAACCCCAGAAGCCATGAACTTGAGCATCACAGCCTCTAGATGAAGACTCTTGAACAAACTAGGAGAACAAACACTATGTTCACTGCAGCACAGTATCATTGTATTTCATAGAAATCAACCAACAGTACCACAGCCTGCGCAGAAGCCCACTTACCTCTCCTGAAAGCTCGCCAGGACTCTCACTCTGGGGAGGGTTAATAAGTTACATATTTACAGCAAAAAGATACAAGCTCTGATAGAGTGGGATGAGGCACTTCACCGCTCTGCTGGCATTGATGCACGTGGCACAGATAAGGCTTGGCAGCAGCTTCCCACTCACAATGGCTCCATCAAACAGAGGCCCAAAGAACGGGACCTGGGATTCATAACAGAAAAACCATGTTCAGACCCAGCAACAGTTAAGGCAGAGAATTGATGCTCTATGTGAAAGACTGGGGGTGAATACACAGGCTGTCATCCAGGTAGGCAAACCTCTTCAGTGCAAGTTGAGAGCTTTCAAGTCAAAGACCAGTAGATTGTCCCACCAGGTTCTTTCACGAGAACTTTCTATAAGACATTTTAAATGACAAATTATCAAGTTTCCCCCTACCACCCTGCACTGTCATTCACAGAAGTGGCATTATTCTTTCTACATGCCTATGCCATGGTAGACAGATGCACTTCACTCCACTCTCCTATTTACAGTCTTCAATTTCTTGAAATTTTCTATCCTCTGCTTCCAAGACTCTGCATCATCCAGAGATGCTTGGCTTTCTTCTGCTAGCTCTATTTCCATCACATGGGCAAACCATAGTGTTCGTGGATATCTTTTTTTTTTTTTTTTGATTTCTTTCTTTTCTCTTCCTTTCCCTTCTATTAGAGTTTCATAAATTCCACTCACTAACATGGAGGGTGTAAGCTCTTTGAGATTTGGGGCTGGAGCTGGGTGGTAACTCTTATATACACCTATGATTTCTCTTGATCTTTCATTAATTTACACAGTATTTATTATATGATAAATCTTTTATTCTAATCTACTCACTAAAGGGACATGTGAAGAACATATGCACACAAAGTCTCCTATAGCCTAACTCAACAAAATCTGCTATAGCCTAACTCAACAAAATCTGCTATAACCTATCTCAAAGTTTATTACAGATTTCAGAAAATGTTAAACTTATACAGTATATGATGTGTAAAATAGAAGGTGTGTATCTCCAATTCTATCAAAATTAACAGAAGATGTTTCATTATAGTCTATACATGATAGAAGAATGAACCAGGAGCTATGAGGATAATGGTTGGAAGCACATTCCACAAAGAACAACAGGTGTTCAGCTTGTGATGGGAGTGGGATTAGTGTGTTTAAGCAAAGGCAGGAAAGTAACAGTTGTCAGAGCCAAATTAGTGGAAGACCAGAAGGGAGAGAAGTCAGGCAAGAAGCAAGAAGGGCCTTGTAGGAAATCATAAGAATTCTCAATTTCTACTATAAGGAAGACAGAAGCCTTCTAGAGGGCTTTAGGGAAGTGGAGAACACCATCTAACCTACATTTGTGTGTATGTGATATGTACAGCAGGTAGATACAAGTGCACATTTTCTGTTATATATGACAAGAAGATCAACATCCCTGTCACTTCCTCTTACAGATTCATTCAAGGGTTCAATGCAGTATATGGTGAGATGACAGAGGTTCCAGGAAGTAAAGACATTCCTTAGGAAGAATGGGGTAGGGGCTTGCTTTAGCTTTAGGAAAGCATGTTCTAAGCTGTAGCATGCGATGAGATACTAGAGCAGCCCACACAGGACCCATGGAGTCAAAGGGAAAAATCACACTTTCCTGTGCTGTATGATCGTTACTGAAAACCCATTTATGGAGCTTTGACCATTGGGATATATGACCCTGTGAGCTGGTGACGCTGACTTGTGAGATGTAGCATATTCCTGGAGCCAGTGACCCCCCTCCCCCACAAAAGGATGGTACTTTTTTTTGTAATTAGAAAATGGAAGTCTAGGTCTAAGGAGACAGGTGGAGCAGGGTCTTCCACTTTACTCTTGTTCTTCTGTTCCTCTGATGTTTGTCTGATTTCTTTGGGGAACTTAATGTAGCAGCACTCCTACTAGAAGACATGCATTCTCTTCAATGGCAACTGGCTACTTTGGGCTCTGGGATCACTGTATACTGAGACAGACAATACAGGATGGTCTGGGTGAGGGGCCCTAACCCAAGGGAAACAGTGCTGCTGTTGCATAGTAGGGACAGGGAATAGAGAGCTCTGGGGCGCCCCCTTCTGGTTTCATACTCAATGGTAAAGTTAATGAAAGACTACATCTGGAGTCCTGATCAGAACTTGGATTCAAATGTTTCATCCATCTAAACCTTCTGAACAACTCCTGAGTGTATATGACTAGGTATTAAGACTTTTCCGCAACTGTTAACAAGCTGGCTTTCCTTATAGCTAGCCGCAAGATGGAAGATACCTACCAAGTTCCTGCCATGTCTTCCATGACTAAATGATACATGGCTCTAGCTGAGGAGAAACACACACCTAGAAAGTACAGCCCAAATTAATTTATATCCATCAGGCTAGGGTGCAGAGCAGAACATTTTTCACACCCAAGTTCTCTTATTGACCAGCTGTGAATACAAAGGCAGCTTTTCACAGAGAAGTAGTGATCCCAAAGTTCATGGAACCTGTTAACATTGTCAAGCACACCAGCCTAAGGGTGTATCTAGCTGCTAGGGCAAGGGCAATACTTGGGACAAATCTCCACTTGATACATAAGAACTAATCCCCCAGGGACTCAGTTGGAACATTCTGATGCTTTCAACCAGAGCTGGGTGAATTCTTCACAGACAACCCTGAGCTTTTAGAATCAAACTACTGCCATGTATGGGCTTACTGAGATGTAGCCCATGCTGAAAACTGCCTTCTTTCCTAGATGGCTAGCTATACATCCCAATGCTGCAGGTATTGAACTCATAACAAAGATACGGCCATGATTTTTGTGTCCGGCTTTTTGGCACTGACTTGGTCATACAAGAAGACAGTAATATAACACAAAAGTTTTTGATTTGAGTTTCTGCTGAAAATCTCATATTTGTCTTTCACATGGCTACAGGATAGATACTCTGAAGCACACAAATACGAAAAAGCCTTCATTATTATGCATCTACATATAGAGACTGCAGATATAATTTTTGGTCCTTGAAAGTTAGGTGTCCAGAGACCAAAATGGCAACATCAGGTAGAGAGAAAAATACATGCTTTTATACTAGGAAAATACTTTCTTACAACACGGAATGGAGGTTGTAAAGGAAGGATCTGAGAAGTTAAGAGCAATTGCCATAGTGAGCACAATTGTTAGGAAGCTTAAGTATATGGTAAGGATCACTGCAACCGTGACTTTGGAAATAACTTTAGAGGTAGAGGTTAAGTAGAGAGGCTATTAAGAGCGTCTGCATGTGTGGGGGAAGGGGCTCATGGAGAGCTGTCTGTGGCTTGACAGACCACAACAACTTTCCCTATAAAGGCTTGGTCAAGGACAACTCCCTATCTGCCCCCACCCCAAATAAAAAGGTTCCAGCTGCTCTAAAGAATACTGGTTGATTACTACAAATAATGTATTTTTCTACATTTTTCACCAATCTTCTAAGCAAAACAAAAAGTACTAATGAACAATGATGAAAGAATCTTATACCATTTGAGGAATAAAGAAGTATCAATAGTAGAGGGTAGATTCAAGGTAAGCAAGACCATGCAGACCAGGGGCTGGTCCTGCTCCAGGGATGCACAAGGGTAGGGCACTGTCCAGGGCTTCCTGGTATGGCTGGAACATACCACCTTAAGTGCCTCTACCTCTGAGAGCTACAACTCAGTGTCTGGTCACAGCTTTCCCCTTTCCCCTTGGGAAAGTCCACAATGGCACAGAAAATATGAACTGAAAGGGAGTATTTGCACTTATGCATCTGAGATACTGAAATGGGAGTTAGATAAGTCAATTAAAAAGTTAGTATTAGAAGACAATTTTTCTGCTTGGGAAAAAATAATTAAAACATTGTGATAAGTACATGTTATATTTGCAGCACTTTTCACATGCTCTATGGTTCAGGGTAGGATGTGACAAGGGCAAACAGAGATGTGTTCAAGAGAATACAGCTCTCTTTAAGGGAAACTCTCTAAGGACTATGCTGCTCAGGAAATGGCTTGCTGAATTTGTGCTAGTTTCCTAAAAGAAGAGAGAAAACAGATTTAAACTCTTTTGCAGAGCCTGGGGTAGACACAGTAAATAATTTCCAAGTCCTGTTGGGAAACAACATGGCACCTCAATGAATGTCTTATAAGTAGGCTGATCACTTAATTTGTCCTACATACATAATTAACCTGTCTTAATTAGTTAAGAGATTATATTAACCACAAACAAGGGGTTTTAAAAGCTCAGGAACATCTGAGTTGATGATGAATAAAGTGGCTATGGTCAATTTTTGAGCTTAGTGCTTTAACATAGAATCTGTAATTCTCCCAGCCCTTCTATATCACCATTTTTACAGAGAAATGAATGATGAAGACTGGAGTGGCCTGCTGCTTTTCTCAAGGACATCAAAGTCAAAATATTGGTCCAGATTCCACTGTGACCCAGGAGGCTCTGCATGGCCTGCCAGCCCCCACCTTTTTGCTTCTCTGATGTTGGTCACATAGGATGTTTTCCTTTCTTCACTCCTGAAGCTCAGGACTACTTCAGGACTTTGTCCTCTCTATCCTCCCTGCTTCTTACTTGATGAGGGCTTGAACACCTGCTCCATTGGGTCCCAGCTCAATTATCATAACCCAGGGAGCCTCTCTATCCACATGAATCACTGTGCAATATTCCCTTTATCTCTGATCACTTTCATTGCCTTAAGTTGACTGACATTGTTAGCCTATCTTTTTTTCTGCTTAGTTTTAGCGTGGTATGTCCTTCATTAGCATTTATTTAAAAGTCTTTGCTAGGTGACTTACTGTTGGGCCTTTTTCTTCTTTTCTTCCTTCTTCCTCTCCCCCTTCTTCTTCTTCTTCTTCTTTTTTTTTTCTTTTTTTGTGGTACCTTGTCAGTGCCTGTGGTTTTTTTTTTTTTTTCTCCCTACTACTAAGACTGAACCTGGGGCTTGTTCATGCTATTAAGTTTGTACTTTATGACTGATTAACACCTCCAGACTTTGTCTTATTTTAAAACACTGATATTAAAAGAAGTTATTGATAGTGCTAATTAATATGTGCTGTATTATTTAGTTTCCTTTTGGTCTTCCACTTCTATCTTCTCTGGTTTTACCTGAACATTTTTGTGATTCTATTTTTCTTCTCAATTATCGTATCAATTACAATTCATATTTTAAATAC